CTTGGCCCCCGGTCTTTTCCGATCTCCTCGGGCGGGAGGGGGGGGGCGCGGGAGCCGCGACACTAGCCTTCTGTGCCCGTCTCTGATCCTCTAACCGAGATGGGCCAGGACCCCTTGGGTTGTCCGGGCTCAGACCTGGACCTTCGTAAAGGCCGCTGAGCGTGCCTTTGCCCGCACTCAGCTACCTCATTAGGAGAAAGGCCCTCGCCTTTATCCAGGTCTTTCAGCAGGCCAGCCTGATATGCTTGGGGCATCACCATCGTGTGGAATGAAGCGACAGCCCAACCTGCTGCTGCGTATGCCCTGGCATTAGAGCAAGATGTCAAGGAGGGAGTCTCAAAAGAGGATGTCTCATCCATAGAGAGATAGCTGGCCAGCGTCTCTCTATAGGGGCATCTTCTCATAACCGCTTTCGCGCATCGCCTCGATGTTGGCATAACTCGCCGGCCAATGTGTTGTTGGTGTTTTTTCAATGTATGCTTCAGACACGGGTCAGGACGGGGCGTTCCCCATAGCGACCCCTAGACAACGCAGTTCGAAGTTCCCATGAAAGGGAACCATGGTTACTATAGTTAAACCATAGTAACCACAAATTAACCATTGCTACACTAACTGTAGTTTAGCCACGGTATTTGTAGTAAAACTGTGGTTATACAAATGGTAATCAAAACTACACTTTTACTACAATAAAAAATAAAAGCATTCACCAACTGATAAAAATGCATTAACTTTTAAAGAGTTTGGAAACTAAGCTAACATTTGATGATAATGTTGGTTCTATTCTTGTTTTTTCTGCATTGCGTCATTCTGTTACTCTTCTTGTACAGCTCTATTTCTATTTTTCTAACTTCCTCTTTTACCTCTCTAAAACAACTCTGCTCTTCTCCCTTTCCTCCATGTTCTCAATTATATCTATATCTTTGCACTCATGCTTTGGAAGCAACATATATGGCTAATATTTCAGTGTATTTTAGTAACTGTTTCTGCAGCTCCAGAGGGATTAGTCACATGATGTTCATGGCTCAGGTGATTGTGCTCAGACCTGAATGTTCATAAGCAAAGATGGAAGAGTTTCATGTGGTTTTTGATCTGGCTCATTATTAGGGACATGTTCATGATAAGAGTATTTATGCACATCTCTCTCTCTCTCTCTCTCTCTCTCTCTCTGTCTGTGTGTGTGTGTGTGTGTGCGTGTGTGTGTGTGTTTTGTTCTTCAGGTCTGGATTGTTTCTGCTGGTTTGATAAACCAGATCCCTGTTACGCAGCTCTGGGACACAAACTCAATCTGCCGATGGTGCTGGGTGCTAGTAATTATAATCTGAAAATAATAAAGAGAATAAACAACTCAAAAGATGATCCATTTTGTAGATTTCAGCATGGCAATATGGAGGAGACTGGATGTGATCTTTATAATAAAAGACCAGAAGTGACCATCATTCATGGGATGCTGATAATAAACCGTGTGATCAGAGCAGATTCAGGGAATTACACATTACATATTTACAGCTCACAGATCATACAGACATTTCAAGGAGACCTTCAAGTGATTGCTGAAGGTACAGAAACTCTCTCTTCAGACTCATTACAATCTCATGTTCTCCAAAGATCTCACTCTCATGCAGATGAATCAGTTCAATCTCTGAGGGTTTTTATTCCTGTAGCACACAGTAAACACACTACAGACTCCAGTAATAGTATGAGTCGTGTGGAAGAACAAGATTCTCCTGTGTTTGTCATGTGACTGTGATGTGTCCCTCCCTCCAGCTCCTATTGGCTCAGTGGAAGTGTCAATCATCTGCTCCTCCAGTGGGCTGATGAGGGTGTCCTGCTCCTCTGAGGGGGATCCGCTCCTCTACAGCTGGACTCTGAATGGAGATCCACTGATGGATGGAAACAGCAGCATTGATCTGGATGAGGGAACTGATGGAGACATCAGCTGCAGCGTGAAGAACCACGTCAGTCACGCACAGAAGACCGTTAGACTCAAACCCTGTCCTGGTGAGATTTTAATACGTGAATGCCCAGATACATATAGAAACCAGAGCAACTAATAATGCAAGTCTCTTAACTGGGCTCTTAATTCTTGAAAAGCGTTACTAGTTTGTTTTAGCTTGATCTCAGCAGTGAATTGTGTTGATGTGGTTCAGAGAGAAAGCAGGTGATTCTGTGCTGATGTTTTATTACAGGACCAACTACTGCAGCTGTGACCTCTAGTGTGACCTCTAGTGTGACCTCTGCAGTGATTTCTAGTGTGACCTCTAGTGTGACCTCTTGTTTGACCTCTAGTGTGACCTCTGCAATAACCAGCAGCACACAGACATCAGAATGTGGTACGAGTTTAACAAACACACTCCTGGAAACATGAAGGATGGGTTTTGTTTTGTGTCTAATTGTTGTTGTTCAGTGTGTTCAGTGTCTGTGGTGTTTGTGCTGGTCTGGTGTCTTCAGCTGATGGTTCTGTTGGGTCTGTTAGGAGGTTTTCACATCTACATGAGACACACGTCAGGTGAGAGACGTTTATCATCATCATTATGGATTTGACATGCAGATATTAAGAGTGTGATGATGATGATGATGATGTGATGCTTTTAGGAAAGAAGCAGGAAGATCAGAAAGTGAGGATGAGAAGATTTAGAGAAGGACCTGAACACACAGCAGAAGATTCATGAGAGCAGCAGCAGATCATCACATCTATGAGAAATAACTTCATAATCTCACCGATTCTCACATCAATCCAGCTTTGACCTGTCGACAGCAGATCTTATAATATAATAACAGTTTTATTGCTTATATTACTTATTTATCTGCACAC